AGAAATACTCTGTCTTTACTTGGGTCCTTTTTGTGAAAATCTAAAAGATTATTATTTATTTTTGTCTTTTATATCAGGACAAACGCAACCTGTTCCATTTCTGGTTCAACACGTTTTTCATTGTACATAGCATGACCGGTCTCTCCAGTAGTGATAGTACAGACAGCCTCCATAAAACTGAAAGCTCTACTGATTCCAACAGTGGTGAGGACTATGTACTAGTAATCACCAAAGATGAAATTGACAAAGCTAATAAGGACAAAACAAATAAGTTCTTCTCACCTAACCTTAAGGTAAGATTGAAACATCAATTTCTTTGGTGTGATTGGGCCTAATAGGTAAATGAAACTGGATCCAGGAATTCAACATAGAGGAGGCCCGGGGAGGGACTTTCTCAGATAGAGGGTGCACACACCTCAGCCCCACCATGGTTGGGAATGTGGAACGAAAAATTATGAGTATGGCACTGCTATAAGGCCGGAAGTGGCACTCTCATGCTTAATTTGAATACACTTTTTTCGGTATTTTTTATAACGTTGAAAAAAGTTAGGTTGGGTGGCTGGAGGTGATGGATTCCCCCCTCTTTAAATCCACCACTGGAAACAGTTGCTGAATATGACCTTTACCTCACAAAAGTATATTTTCTTTAATAATGTTCAACAATAATGACAATTTATATTTACCTTGTATAAACATAGATCCTGCATTGAATGCAAGTCTTACTGTAGTATCTGCCTCTCATGTTTTTTTTTTAACTTGTCATAATATTATTTTTAACTTTTCTGACCTCAATCATGAACTTTTTATTTGCTAATTTTTTTACTTAATTTTTTATATGATTCTCAATTTATTATATCATCTTGTCGATGTTAATGATATTTGATACATGTATTCTTTATTGTAAAAAGTATTTAGGTGATGCATAATTATCCTTTGTATTGAGTGATTCATCTCCATCAGTGATAATACAGTCTTAAAGCATACTATTTGTTGAACAATCATTCAGCCCCTGTCATGGAATTATGTGAAGTACTAAGCACCTCTCTATGGCTGCTAGGTAGTCACAGACCATGCCCATACGTAATACAGCACAATCACATAAAAGTTATGGCTTATTTTCTTTCCTTTACCTTTACCCTGTTTGTATTTTTCTACACATTTATTACATCTCTGTAAGTGAATATTTAAAATTATGTTTTCTATTTATTATTTTTGGTTTTTTGTTAAATTTTATAGATAACCTGTTATTTTTCAAAAGCTGAAAGCGCAATACATGAGATCCCTCAGGAAGGGAACTCCACGCCAAGCGGAAGTGATAACGATATCTTAGATGACGAAGACGATGAAACGAGCGGGTCCGAATCGTCTGATATAGAATGGGATGATGGTCCAGTAACCTTTGTATGATACAAAGAGACAAAAACAACATTTGGTGTTGTGGAGCAAAATATTTTCAGGTATACATTGTGCATAATATCAAGTTACATGATAACACCGGCCTATAATGTAGATGGTTGGGATTATTTACTTCGATTTCAACTTGACGTTCTCAATTTCATCTGTGATTTGATGGTGTTTTGAACTTTCGTCAGAAAACGATGGACCCACGGCCATGAATGAAAAATTTTATTGCAAATGCTTTGCAGGTATCTATTGTGAGAAGATAACGTTTGAAATTAATAAGAGAAGAAAACAGCAAAATGTGATTTGTTACGAAACCACGGAGTACGGGACAGTAGCAAGAACCATCATGTTGAGTGTGTGACTATACAGTTTTTTGTTTTTTTATAAATTCAGCGAATTCTCACAGTTAACTGTAATATACTTGCCTACAGAAATTCTGTTATTTTTAAATATTTATTGTTAACATATAGAATGCAGGAAGCATTTGTTGACCGTTGCCATAGGAGATGACCTTTTTGTCAGCATCAGTCTGATTGAGTCATTCTGATTTGCATATTGGATTTGACATGACTTGGGTCGGGAATTCGCAGAGTACTATAAGAAGCAATCTTTATTGTCTATTAAATTTTGTGTACATCACAATAAATCAAATATTATAAAATTTAACTTTCTAAAATTTTATATCATAGAATGTCAGTCAATTTTGTTATATTTGAATATGAATCATCATCCACTAGATATTGTAGTGTGGGGGGAAAAGAGAAATCTATGTTTTGTCTTGTCAATGCTTGTACTCAATAAATCATGAAATTCTTTATTATATTTGGAAGTATATGTATGAATGTTGAATAGATACTTTTGTGTTTTTATTCCCATCGAAAAATAACTAATTACTGCGGACTTAGTTTTGCAGTGATGTGCATCTCACTTGCTGCAGATGTGTTTTGCACAACTGGCAACAACCCTGGGAAAGCACTTTTGAACTTTCATTACATCTCATTGCCGTAGCAACGGTAGTAGTGGCAATATTAACTGCAATACATAGGTTACATTAACGTATCTGCTTATGTAGGTGTAGTCTGATTTGCCCATGTAAGCAAATGGCTTGCGTTAAGCACATGTGCAGCATACTGCACTGTTGAGAACTACAAGCTTAAGACTAACTTAATGCAGCCATAGCCTATCAAATCCAATTTTTTTTTTTGTATTGTATGACAGTATGACGGCCTACATACACGTAGGAGGGAGTGATTTGAAGTCTAGGTTTTACTAAATTTGTGAATTTTGTATAGCATAATCATATGTAGATGAATTGTTCAAGTATATCCAATGTATAAATTTAATTTTAGAGAATTTAAAATTGAGTGGAGTACTTCTCAATTGTGTGTATAAATTTGTTCAAATAGATTAGATATGTTGATTGACAATGAAGCTGATATATAATTGCTTTATTTACATTCAAGTAACTGTACAGGTTCTTGAGTGCCATCTAACAAACAAACATTTGTATTATTATGAATGAATCTAATTGGCTTATTCAAAATATTTGTTTCATTACACTGTTAGCTGTTATTTGTTTGTATTGATCATGTGATATAAAACTGATCAACTATTGGTTGTTAGGTAAACTGCAGGAAGGTTAAGTTGTATGAAGTGTGTGGAGTTTGTCTTCCACTAGGTAAAACTGTTGCTCATATTGTGTCTGGTTACCCATAATGTACCAGAGTACATCATGTGGCCTAAGGCCATAGTATGGAAATCATAGAAGGCTAATTCAAGTCGCTAAAAGCATACAGAACCAAAATGCCAGTATCACATCATAACATTCTAATAACATAAGAAAATGCACATTGGAATGTTCAACTTCCAATTTTTAAGATTTTGATGGACCAGAGTTTTGTTTTTATTTTTTTAAATGTGAATTGAAAATTTTTTGCACTGCTGTGATAAGACTTGATCCGACGGGGCGGTTGGGAAAGGCTAAGAAAAGTAACTAATTTATAAGTATTGAGTAGAATAGTATGCAATCGAATATGTTTGTTACACAAGCCCTGTAGTGTACTAACACACAAAATTCAAGGCACAATTGATGGTGGCCGTAAAGTTATTTGACTGGCTGAATCTATGGTAGTCATTTGAGTTAGCACTCTAGTATTCTAACATTCTCAGTTTAATATCAGGTGTTTTCTTAATGAAATAGTACGGGTGTTATTGCATCACAAAAAGGGTGCATTTATTCTACGCAGCTCGTATATGAAATGTCACTTTATGTTGGCATTATTTACTTGGTGGAAAATAGGCTTCGGGAGCAGATATATTTTTTTTTTATCACTGCTTAGGTCTTAATTTAGTAAGTTTATTATTAGATAATAATTTATTTTGATTTTATTCTTTAAAATTTAGTAACAATTGTAAGTGTATAAAGTAGGCAAACAAAGGGAATCATCAAATTCTGTATCTAAAGATTCCTGCTGGCCGCACACAGAAGGCAATAGACACATTATCTCCAAGTGCCAAACTTAATTTCAACTCTATGTTCAGCTATTTTTGTCACACTTGCGTTCACTGATTATGATTCATGAATTAAGTATAACTGTTTGATTCAAAAGAGAAGATAGAGAAATATTAATTTAAAGAAAAACTAGTTTTAAAAACTGATTATGACCAAATATGTGGGTGTAATTTGTATGTAAATTTACTTGAATATGGTTCTTGAGGAAAGCCATATGCTCATATATGAAAAATCCATGACTTAAGTCAAAACCATTTGCAAAAAATGAAGGCATTGTTGATATAAAAGGTATTAATATCTCCATATTAATATGGAAAGATATGATCATTTAGAAAACTAGTCTTCTATAATACATGTTATGAAAAGCCAAGTGGTCCACTGATTATATTTAAATAATAAAATATCATGCAGACTCCAAAAATACTAAGATAAGCCATGATTCAGTAATTTCGTTTCTTATACGAACATCATTATTCCTGATGTTCGAATAAAGAACAAAATATTGAATCATGGCTTCTCTTAGTCTTTTTGGAGTCTGCGTGATATTATCATACATGTTATGGTTATATGGAAACTATAATGTCAAATTATCATATGGAGTTTAGTCATATGGAAAACTAATGTCATAAGGTCATAGATATTCAATATAAACACATTTATTACATATTCCATATGACTCTAGTTGTACTATAAGTTTGCATGGAAATCAAAATTGATATGCCATAAACCTAATGATTGATGATAATTCTATGATGTAGGCCTACACATACAAAGTATGTTTATATGTGAACAAGTTTATGTTTAATGTTAACAGAATGTTTTAATGAAATTAACTCAAATTCATATCTTTTCAAATTGAATGTTTATTCTATTTTCTTTTCTAAAGGTAATTTTTTATTTAAAATATATCAGTTATTTTGTATGGTTTCTTTTATAAATTGAATAAGAATAAATTTATAATTTCACATGAAGGACCACTTTTAACTCTTAGTGGGTGTGAGAGTTATATAAAATGTTTGTTTTGAATTAATGATTTATATGTTAAATATATTTTCATTAATGTTTACAGTTTCTTGTAATTATTTCAAGTAACTTAAATTCTAAGCTGTATGCTAACATGAGACCAAAATGTCCTATAAGCCATTTTTAGTTTTTTTAAGCCATCTATTCCAATATGGCCACTTCCATGTGTTAAAAGGCAGACAGCTGATAGGGTTAACCAGTGTTTTCTTTGCTTTTGTCATAGATTTATGTGGTATTTGTTCTTCCACTGAGGCACTGTAGATTTTTTCAATAAATCTATGAAAATGTTTATTGTAAAAATAATTACAATAATATAGTACAGCACTTTTTACACTACAGTTGAACTTGTCTAAGTCGAATCCAAAATGGCATTGAAATATTGTTTGACTTAGATAAACATCGACGTACAGATTCGTAATGGAAAACACAACAATTTGGCATGTAAAATAGGATGGACTTAGAAATTAGTCAACTAAGGCAAGTTTCAATGTATTACCGTTCTGAGGTACATTAATTACAAAGATTTTAACTCAAATTTGCGTATCTTTAACGTTAGGGTTGAGTGTGACCTCACCAATTTTCACAATGCTGTTAAAACAGACGTTCTATCAGCTGTTGGGATTACATGCATCGTAATTTTTTAGGCTGCCGCACCACGAGCATCTCAATATCATGGTTGATAAATATGATAGTAATCATTGTCTAATAATTATTACACTGGATTAAAACAGCCATGCATTATGTGAATCACCCCCTTTTAAAATACTACCTGGTACCCAAGAAACAGATGCAGCTGAAGTGTCTTGCTCAAAGGCTCAGGTAGTTTTCACAACCATTTGCAGAGGCAAGTTGCCTACGAGTCAATATATGTTGGGTACACTATTCACAAGGTTTGCTAGTCATAGTTCCCAAGGTTTGCTGGTCATAAGTCATGACCTCTGTATTTGAAAATCCTGGGTTCACGAAAGATAAGAGCCCTTTATATGACAGCTTTATCACATGATCTGTATTCAGGTCTGTCCACACAGTTTAAAAATAAAAACAAATGCCCATGGGTGTGATATACCATCAAAAAATTGTTATTGCAGACAGAGCATTAGCATTAGAATAGATTTGACACACACATTATTCATTGTGCTACCAATGACATAGTATTTAAGTACAGTAGGTGTAACAGCTCATTGCTGTTTTTAAATATTCAAAAATCTGTGTCTTATATTAGCTGTTCCTGTTTTTTAAAACACCCCTTCAATGTCTTGGAAAATTATTTTGTATAACAAATCAATTATTTTTTTCTCCAGAGCCTCCCTTTGAGAGTTAAATTTCTAAGACTGACATGAGCCAGAAAATTTCAGACCTCATTGCCAATCTTGGTGGGGCCAAGGTGGACTAGATCCTTCATCTGTTTAGTCTTGCCCTGGGCCCCCTATGTTTCGAATTTACTACTGTATTGATTCGGGTTTGTCACAATAACATGAATGTAGAGGGACAAAGGGGAGTTCCCCCTCTCCAATCCAGGTTTAGACCTTTCTAAATGCAGCATCTCAGCATCTTAGAATAATATTAGTACAATATTTTTAAAAAAGTGAAGATATTTTAAACAATAAAACTAATTGAAATTATTAAGCATTGGAACAGTCAAAATAATGTTTTCATTCCTCGTTTAGCTAGAGGCATTAAAATAAGATTGACGAGTGCAAATTCTATTGGATTAACTGGTACAGTATAACCATGGAGCAAAATGTATAACAAATGTTTGTCTACTACAGCAAATATATTGACATGGTTTCCTTTTTTTGATGTGGGTGGTGTCATTGATGTCCTGTAATCTGGAAATAAATCATGTACTATACAGAAATAGTATTTAAAATATAAGGTATGAATTATGTTCTGTATCCCTAAGTTATTGTAAGCCAAACTAAACTACCTGTACTTGTTGATTATTTGGAGGGCTTATACTGTACATTGTTATAAATCATCACTGCATTAGTGTGTCTCGATAGTGTTACAGGGTTTCAACATCTCATTGAGCTTTTTCCTATATATATTTTTGATTGGCAAATAAGACATTGTGGAGATATAGTTTTATTGTATAAACTGTGTGTCTTCTATGTGGCTACCATTTTTCATAACTGTAGTATTCGATGTTTTGTGTATCAATATATTGTTTAAGATGGTTTTGTTATACAAAAACAAAATAAAATATAAAAATATTTAAAAAAATGTTGAAAAGAGTTGTTTGAGATAAAGAAAACTATTCCATAGAAATAGTAATACAGTAAAACATAAAAGAATAATAAACTTTATTTTCATCACGATATGCTGTTGTTATCTTGTATCTGTATTGTTTTCAAATAAATCAAAATTCATGTTTTCAGATACTTCAATCAATTTAGCTTCTCAAAAGGATGGAGCCCACAGTGGCACCCAGGGAAACATTCCTACCCCTGGCACTACACAAAGAAATGTACCTCTTCTTAGGTATCCATAAGAAAATTCATGTATTGTAGATCACTTGACATACAACTATTATTTATAATGATTCTAATTCACCTGATTTTTGAGGAGTATGTACTTGGTTTTGTTGCAGGCCATAATTCTAATGCTACTATTATGCTACAACACCAAGTACTTCATACTATTGTTTCATTCGAGAGTAAATTCTACCAACTCCCTGATTCTATATAATGCAACAAACAAACCAACTCTGATGTTTTCACAAGCTCTCGGAATGTGTTTCTACAAGAATGTCAATAAATATCTTTTACACTGATTTGTTAAACTTCTGGTAATTAAAAACTAACAGTTTGTCTCACAAAAGGGAAATCCATCAAGGGTAATCATAATAGGTGGAGGCATCTACCTGCACAATGGGAATGTGGTGACCATTCTCTTCTCTAATAAACCAATAGAGGGCGGTATTGCATAAAACAAGATGCCCTGGTAAAATCCTTCAATACTGTACATAATAGTCTTCAATACAATACCACTTGTTTCAAAGTTTATATCTATAATAACATAACTGCTTATAAACAGTATCTAACTATACCAACCTCCTTGATGAATATTCAACAGTTGGACTGTTCATAATGCATTCCTTACAATCATATTATAGGAATTATTATTTTAAAGATATATCATCTGCTGTAAAATGATTAGAAATTATTAACTTCCACTGACATTTTGATCAAATCAAATGTTGCTAATTTACTGACATTTCATAACGTAAATTCTTAAATTGATTACCAGCCAATTTATTTGATCCATGCAACAAATCTAAAAATTTAAGCATCTGTCAAATAGTGAAGAAAATCTCTTTAAGAAAGAAATATGCAAATTAAGTATCTTTTAATAGTTTTTAGCTCAACTGAGATGATATATCTTTAATAAATTCATACACAATTTGTAATGTTGAAAAAATATTAAGCAAATTCTACATGTGTGTTAATTCTTAACTCATTTTACATCTAGGACCGTTTGAATATTATTTCCCAGGCTTGGAAAATTGTCAAATTTTATGAATTCTCCATTGTTGTAGTGAATATGTACACCGCTATAAGACTAGATTATTCAAAGTGTTCAACTTGGACATTAGCCATTGATAGTACAGTAAAACTTGCCTAAGTCAACTTTCCCTATTAACTTGAATAACTTTATCAAAATCCATCTTACTTTACATGCCAAAATTGTGTTTTATATTAATTAAAAATGTGCATGTCAAATTTTATCTACGGCGAACAACTTTTCAATGCCATTTTGGATTTGATTTTGGCAAGTTCAACTGTATATCATAGGTTTGTACTTTAGGCCTCAAGTAAAGGTATGTATCTTGTTTTTTATATAAAATGTGTAGTGAACATCATTCTATATCGATCCAATTTGTTCACTGTTTTTCATCACCTTGGCTCAATCGCTGTCAAATTTGATGGAGTTGACAGCCATATCGATGCTGCCGCCCCTGTAACTGCCACGCTTTTTCTTTGTCTTCTCGTGTCGAAATGATTTGCCTTTTGTGAACTTGAGATCAATGTTGGCACGTTCTCCCCATGAGCCTTGTGCACCACGCTGCCAAGATAAAAGGACACAAAATAAATATTATTGCCTATAGTGAACAATAAATAGTACATGTATTTTTCTTTTTGAAGACAATTTTCAAGATGCTAAACAGTGAAGTAAAAGTTAGATGGATCAAATGGAATGTAATGTTGAATATCGTCAGCGTAAAGGTGATAAGAAATTGTTAAGGTTTTAATAATTTTGGACAGTAGGACTATGTAAGGAGAAGAAAGAATAGGACCAAGAATGGATCCTCGGGGAATCCCACATTCAAAGACTGATTAGTTAGTAACTAGTAAAGTACTGGTAGTGGTTTTTTACAAAAACTTCTTGCCGTCATTGCAAAAAATGTTGCATCTGCTGGCAGCGCATAATTATGGCTTTGTAATGGAGAGATTATGTTAGGGCCTCATGTGCCTCATGGCACGAAGGGAATAGGTGAAGTGAGGGTGAACAGATTTTTTACACATGGATTTTAACTATATCATGAATTGTGGTAAACAACATAAAGACATTTAGTAAAAATTGATAACATCCTAAACTTATTTCAGATTCACTTCACTTACTTTGCTCTCAAAAGAATTACACTTGAGCTTCTCATTTACTTCCACATTTTCCTCTCTTACTCTTCTGAAAGGAGTTGGTATTGTTTTAGTCTACAATGAAAAATATATGTACAGTACATCTTCTGTACGTTTCTTATATATATTCATTGTATATATTCATTGTATATACATACATATATACATATATATATATATGTATATATGTATCTATATATATATACATATATACACATATATAAATATATTTATATATATACATATATACATATGTATATATACATAATTATATATATATACATGCATATGTACATTTATATATATAAATAAGTACAATTCTACTTTGCATAATCATACTAATTTCATATATAAATATATTTATATATATACATATATAATTATACATATATATTTATATATATATATATATATATATACATATACATATATTATATATGTATATACACATGACCTATATATATATATATATATATATATATATATATATCAGATATTCAACGACATTTGACACCGCAGGCCTATGCTATGCCATCGAAAATGGTAAAATAATTTATACAGAGATGCCTGATAAAGTCATACGTAAAGGTATTTATTATTTCCCTAGGAACATTTGTATACATTTTATGTATCTTAAATATTGAAAATGCAAAAAAAAAAAACAACCATACTGTAGAAGAAAATGGCAGAAACTAATTTGAGATACAAATTTGATCTTAAAATTAATAAATGCAAACCAATACTTACACAGATTGTCAGTATAAAAATGTACATAATTACATCTTATGAGGTTTTTTTAAAACTCATATTTGCTATTCAATCTTTTTAAGAGGCAGTAATCAAGTATCATTAAGTAAATTTAAAGTTAGTTTACCTTTTTCTGATTTACTTTTGGTACTGTGTTTGGTGTTTTCTGTTCCCCTTTCAGACCCTTCTTCGGTGTGACAGATTCATCTTTCTCGTCATTTGAAGAATCTGATCTCGGTCTTTTCTGGAAACAGAAAGCTGGTCTTGTGAAAGTTATTTTTTTTAACTAAATGATATCATTATGCCAATTCGCAAATCTGAATATCTATATTATTCAAAAAAGAAAAACAAATTTGAAATTACCTTTGTCAATACTTTTTTCTTTGCAGCTTGTTTTTTGTCATCATCAGAATCAGAACTCTCACTATCACTGTCAGAGCTATCTTGATCATTAGTTAAACCATTGGGGGTTTTCCCTGGTGTTGCTGACTTTTTTGCTGATGTTGGGGTTTTCTTGGATTTTTCATCTTCACTGCTCGAGTCGGAGCTGCTTGATGAGCTCTCGTTTTTTGCTGATGCTTTTTTAATTACTGCCGTGGCTTTTCCTGGTGTAACCTTTGCTGGAGTAAGAGCCTTTTTTGGAGTCTCGTCTTCACTACTTGAGTCTTCACTGCTTGAACTTTCCTTCTTTGCTACTGATTTTGGGGTTGCCTTTTTCGCAGCTACAGGTTTCTTGGTGCTCTCCTCTTCACTACTAGAATCAGAACTAGAAGATGGTGATTCTTTCTTTGCTGATTTTGCTGTTGGTGTCAAGGTCTTCTTGGGTAGAGTTTTTGCAGGAGTGGTTTTTGAAGGCATTACTGGTTTCTTTATTGTTTCTTCTTCACTGCTTGAGTCAGAACTGCTGGAGGATGAGGATTCTTTCTTGGTTGATTTTGAGGTTGGAGTTCCATTTGGGGTTTGTGACTTCTTAACAGTGGTTTGTTTAGATGGTGCTACTGTTTTTTTTGGAACATCATCCTCACTACCAGACGATGAACTACTAGATGAGCCTTCTTTCTTCGAAGCACTTTTTTGGACACTTTTTGGTGTTGGTGTCTTCTTGACTGGTGCTGCCTTTAATGGTGTTACTGGTTTCTTTGCGTTTTTGTCCTCTTCACTGCTTGAATCAGAGCTGCTGGAACTGTCTTTCTTCACTGGTTTAGTAACTTTTGCAGAATTCTTTGCAGGAGTCTTTGTAGGGGTTTTTGCAGAAGTCTTTGTAGGGGTTTTTACAGGAGTCTTTGTAGGCGTTTTTGCAGGAGTAACTTTCTTCTTGGGTTCTTCTTCCTCGCTACTCGAACTGCTGCTTGAACTCTCTTTCTTTTTTGCTGGGGTTACTTTTGGTGCTGGAGTAATTTTAGGAACAACCTTTTTTGCTTTATTTTCTTCTTCACTACTGGAATCATCTGAGCTGCTTGATGAATCAGCTTTCTTTTCAAGTGTTTGCTTCTTAACAGGTATTTGCTTCTTAACAGGATCAGGTTTCTTTACAGGGCTCACCTCCATCTTTTCATCTTCGCTACTACTAGACTCTGAACTGCTAGAACTGTCTCTTTTAGGTGTTTTATTAACAGGTACTTTCTTGACTGCTTGTGCTTTTACAGGTGTGGCTTTTTTCACTGGTGGCTCATCTTCGCTACTGGAATCGGATTCACTTGAATCTTTTTTTATTGTTTTTGCAGCTGGAGTAACCTTTTTTTGAACAGGTTTTGTGGTTTTCTTGTTTCTTGCAACAGACTTGTTGGCAGTTTCCTCTTCACTGCTGCTGGAGTCTTCACTACTTGTTTCTGCTTTCTTAGCGTACGGAGGCGGTACGGCACTAAATTTACCTTTACCATTTTGTGTAGATTTTCCTGTCTGAGGTTTAGCAGGTGTCTTTTGCTTATCATCTTCAGAATCTGAACTATCAGATTCTGATGAACTTTCAGCCTTTTTAGCAGTCGGAGCTTTTGGTTTTTTGGCAGTTGATTTTTCATCTTCGCTCTCTGATGAACTGCCATCTGAAGAGCTGTCTGGTTTAGACTTAGTTTGTGGCTTTGCTATGGGTTTTGGTTTCTCTACACGTTTCTGTTTTTCTTCTTCACTTTCTGAGGAGCTGCTCTCAGATGAGCTTTCTTTTTTTTTCGGTGTCACCTTCGCAGCTGGCGTTGTCTTTTTTTTAGTTTTTATTTTATTTTTCTCATCTTCACTATCGTCTGAATCAGAACTACTATCTGAAGACTCTGCTTGCTTTTTGGCTGGTGTTGTTTTAGTAGCTTTCACAGGGGTTTTGTCTTTTTGCTGGGTGGGTTTCTTAACTGGTGCTTCTTCTTCAGAAGAGTCTGAATCACTGCTGCTGCTCTCTTTTGTTTTTTGCTTCTTGGATGGGGTTTTGTTGTCATCACCCCCTGCAGCTTTGCGTTTATTCTTTGGTGATGTCACCCAGCACTGATACATCTCCACCATAGTTGGATCATTTTCCTTTCTAACTGCCTATAATATAAATCAAATGCAGAAATTTAACAATCCAATATCATTTAACTGAAATAACATATTACATTACACATTACTAATACTTAGGCTAGATTTGAATATAGTGTAAATTTGCATAGCCTGGTCTATTTGGTTGGTGGAGCAGCCATGAGCACCAACAATGGTTTGTGACATACATACAGTATGGCAAATGTACCTCCCCAAAACATATGTACAGTACAGCTAAACACAACAGCTAGCTTATCTAAATATGTATAACTTTACGAGAGGCCAGACGCAAAAATTAAATTTAGCACAACACAGCACTGCCAACTGAGATGATTATTCTTTAGGGTCTAGCTAGGCCTATTTTATGATGCAAAGACTGCGTAAGTAGCCTAAAATGCTAGGCTACGACGACGGATGTGTTGACGAGCTTTATTAATCGAAGG